CACTATTGCCTTCTGTGGTTAAAACATAAGACTGCAATTGAATTTACTTGCGCAGATAAATCTGTTTTGAGGAATTTCCATGGTTACTAGTCATCACCACATCAAAGCGGGTCTGACAGTAGAACCAGAGAATGTCCAGTCAGTAAAAAGGCATATATTCGAAAAATATATTTTCTGAGCAAGTAGCCAGAACCTTTTCACTCCGTTTACAGACAAGACTTAAACATGCAACGATGAATGGCATAAATCTGCAAATTCCTGCCATATCTGGCTCTATCAAAATATAAATCATTATTGCAGGCTTATCATTCTTATCAAGAGTAAGGCAAGAACAGTTTATTTAACAACTGCAATCTTTATTCTCTATATATATATATATATATACACATACAATTTAGAAACTTGAAATATGGAATACCTATGAAATACCTATAGCAATGGCATTTAAACAACCTTACAATATGACTGCATATGATTAAGGCTTATAACTGCAAAAGCTTGTTACGGTGACCTTTGTGTCAGGCATCCTGAGTATGTTACCAAATGCCGATCCTCGCTGGATTTTAGCAGATCTTGACGTGGATTGTCGCCGGTACGTTCTTCGACGCTCTTGGGATCCCGCGTATAAGTGGCTGGTACCTTTAATCGGCGTAGATAAGGAGCCTCTGGTTAACATTCATCGGCCACCCCGTCTCAGAAGAGGTGGTGTGGATGCTTCTCTCCTTCGGCCTTTTGACCGCGTATCTTTGTCGCTGGAAGACTCATCTCCAGTGAGGATAGCCTTGGTGAACGCTAGATCACTAGCTAACAAGTCCTTTATTTTGAATGACTTTTTTACTTCCAAGGACCTGGGCATGTTGTGTGTGACTGAGACCTGGATCGGTGTTGGTGAGTCGAGTGTTTTTTCAGAAGTTTTACCACCGAACTGTACCTATTTTAACTCTCCACGTCTTACGGGACGAGGAGGCGGAGTAGCAACTATTTTTAAAGAACATTTAAACTGTCGGCGTCTGCCATCTCACTCCTATTCCAGCTTTGAAGTCAGTATTTTTGAACTAAGGCTGGGTTATCCGGTGCTGTGCGCTGTTGTTTATCGCCCACCCAAATACAACAAGGACTTTATTGATGACTTCTCTGATTTTCTGGCTGGAATTATGCCAAAATATGATAGGGTCTTAATTGTTGGGGATTTTAATATTCATGTGTGCTGTCCCACCAAGCCTTTGGCTAAAGCTTTTTTAAATCTTCTGGAGTCTTTTAACTTAACTCAGTTTGTGGCTAGTCCCACACATAAATGTGGACACATACTAGATTTGGTTTTATCATATGGCTTGCCTATTGGTAATATTGAAGTTTGTGATGCCATTTTCTCTGATCATCTGAGCTGTGCTGTTCAGTACTATTAATGCGGTTTTGAACACTCCTCAAGCTACTTGTTTAGAGCCTTCTGCTGAAATGTGTGAGACATTTTTACACTTTTTTATCAATAAGATTGAGGCTGTTAGAGCTAATATTTCTCTCCCATTGACTTTTTTACCCATTTCCACTGAGTGCTCTGCTGTTTTTAATCAGTTTGAGCCGGTGTCTCTTACCTCATTGAGAGAGATCATTGTTAAAATTAAATCATCCTCATGCGGCATGGATATTGTTCCACCTAGTCTTCTGAAAGACTCATTTGAAACTGTGATCTTGATTACACGCTTAGAACAATGTGTTGGTATTAAGGGTACTGCGTTGGGATGGTTTAGATCCTATTTGTCCGAAAGAACTTTCTCAGTTCGTATTGGAGACTTTGTCTCCTCAACTGCTTAAAGCTCTGGAATAGTTTGCCCCGCTACATTAGACAGGCTCAAACACTTGCTGTTTTTAAATCTAGCTTAAAAACTCATTTTTATAGTCTGGCATTTGACGCTACATGAGAGCTGCTTTCTTCTATTGTTTTATGGTGTTTTATTTTATTTTTTTGTGTTGTTGACTGTTCGTAATCACTGACATTTTTATTCTCTTATGTGTGTACAGCACTTTGACAATCACTTGTTGTTTTAAAAAAAGTGCTTTATAAATAAACTTTGACTTTGACTTTGGAACCCTCCCTTGTGCCAGATATAGCAGCTGAGGAACATAAGCAATGCCCTATTACATGACTGTGGGCACTGAGTGGGCTCATAGGGCTCCTCCTATGCACTTTTGCTCATAACCTTATGGGCATATTCATTTGGCACTACTAACCTCCTCCTACAACACAATGTTTTGGAAAACAGGACAATGATGGAACAAAACACACATTTGGGATCAGACTTTTATTTGGACTCACATAAATAACAATAGTTCATATATATATATACTTTTTTGTATATTATACAATTTTTATATAATATATATTTCCTCCTATGATTTACATTCTTTTTTTTGCTAAGTTATATTTATTTAAACAGGAGCATTATGTTGATGAACACACAGCTGCTTGAGCACAATAAAGACGGTAATATCAAAGAAGAGGAATTGGTTCTTTCATTTTTTTGTTCAGAAAAGTAAAAACAATCGCTTGAAAACAGAAATTAATGTAATTAGTTCATCAGTCTTAAATGCAAAGTAAAGCACGGCTAACTGGAAACCTGATATGCCATAATATCTTTCCTGGACATTTCTCATAAAAAAATGTTTATATAAAACAGCAGAGAATATCACAGGAAATGCTTCGAGTCGGGCCAGATCATCATGCAGTGACCCAGTGAATCGCACTTGAACAAATAGATCAAACTAGATCAGAGATTGACTCGTGAGTTCTGCTTTCAAGCTCCTCACGTTTACCTTTCAGCCTCAGAAGAGCCTGCAAATGAGTTTTCACATGAAAAGTGACCTGAAATAAGCAAATCTCAAACAATTCCTCAAGATTTGCCCATGGATATCACTAATGATCAATGGAAATGTTGAAGACTTTCTGCAGTACGTCATCTTGCTCTTTTTAGCATGCAGGGTTGCACTCAAGACTGTCAGAATGTGAGACCAAGACACATGACAGCGGCTGCTGCATTGACAGAAAGAACAGAACTGACAACAGTGTGACTGAATGAACAGTGCAGGAGTGGGCATCTCAGGGCTACGTTCATACAGGAAACACACTGACAATGATTTAACGTAGCTGTGTCACACGTCAGCCATACTTGCACTTTCATCAGTGTAGAACTCACTAAATAAGTTCCATCAATCCAAAAAATGTCTCATTATGGCATTCAGATATACATTTATTGCCTGAGACCAGGACAAATTGGACCAATAAAGAAGTGGAAATAGTTTTTAAACTCAAGAACTTCATGCAATTGGCCAGAAATCATTATAAATGCTAACAAATTAAGTTCATTATTGCTCTACTACACCATTAATGTATCATTCAGTCATAGATTAAACTTTAAAACAACTCATGAGTTCACGTTCATGGAGGAAAAAAAAAAAAAGAGTCTGTCATTGAGGGGCTCTTCTATGTGACTCGACACTAGCTTCAAGTACATAGACCGATGCCGAGATGAAGGATGCCGGAAAAACTGTCGGAAGTGAGGTAAACGCAACCTGATCTCATGAGAAAACGTAACTATTTTACGAGGTGGTGATTCTGTAAGAGTAAAGGTCCTAACCTAACCGCCAATGGGGAGTAAGCAGATCGCATGAAAACATACATAAGAGATTGTACAATTTCATACGAATTAGCCACCAATTCGCCAAAACGTAAAATAGCGAATTGCCACAAGAGTGTGTTGGATAAACGTCGTTTCACTTCCTTATCCAATGCAAATAATAATGCTATCAGTGCACACAACTTGTTCTCAGTGAATCCCTTCTATATATTTGTAGGGATGTTAAGCTCTCAAGATGTAACAGGAGGATTCACATACTTGGTGTGCTTGCAAAGAGGATGTAATGGTAAAATGCTCTGTGCTTTTAATCAGAAAGATATAAAAAGAACCAAAAGCAATCACGTACATTCAGCAGAGCAAAGAGGAAACCCCACTGACACAAAGCCAAACCTGCAGGACAGTGGCGTCAGTAGTACGAATACTTCCCAGTCTGGATATTTACATTGAACTGAATGGATACAAACCACTTTTTTTGGGGAAGTATCTCAAGTTCAGCATGCTATTGCAAAGATCTCTTGCTACACACTTGAATTTTTTGCCTGCATTAGCACAAGTGATTGTCTTTATCCCAAAACTGGGTATCCTTATTACAGCCCTGAACGTCACACTGAGGAAGATCGTGTAAGATTCATAACAGCCATTAAGAAAATAAAACTACTAGACTGTATTCACTTTGGATGCACATTTGAATGTTAAACGGATGAATCAACATGTCTTTTTGCCAGTCGTTCAAATATTTTTGAATGGATGGATCTGATAAATATGGACTATAGTCTTGAAATTCAGTTCTTGACGGAGTTTGAATGCGTGTCAATGGACGAACACCTCCACAGATGGGATTTTGCGACACATCGTATATCAATTATTAAAGATACATCTTAAAAACACCTGGGGAACTTGTACCTCATGCTGTTCACAAAAACAAAACCAGAAACTGAGATAGTGAGAACAAATCACAGAGGAAATACATATCATGCCATCATCTTCAGACATATTTTAAACCAAAGAATCATCTTTTCTCCCTGAATATGAAAAGTGTGTTATAGACCCATCAGATTATAAATGTAACCCTTATTAGAAACACCAAATTGTCATCCTAACATAATCCACTATATTCGGTCCAAAAGGAAGTCCAACCCTGTCTTAAGTTAGCAAGACTTTTTTACACACAGGGGCAACAAATTCAACTCTAAAAAGTGCTTTTAGAAATACATTAAAACTGACAAAAAAGCAAACCAATGTTTAGTCATAAATAATTTACAATTTCCCCCATTTCAGCGGTTTAAATCTGAGAGCTCATAACCCACTCGGCTTAACGCTCATTAATGTGACCAGAACTATCAGGAACAACTAAAGATCCACCTTCAACCTAGTTATGAAAACCAGGAAAAGAAGAAGGGTGAGGGAACCTTCTGGAATAACTGATGCCTCAGTGGCAGCTCTTCACTCCGGACACATAGGGTGAATCCTGTTGGCGGCAGATGCCTTCTTGCTGTTCGCTGCAGTCCACGAAGTCAGGCACGGGCAGCCCTGACATGATCATCAATGACTTGTTCCAGATCATGAAGGTGGGAGCCACTGGAAGCAGGAAGGAAACGTCAAAAGTGTATATGTGCTGGGAGTTCATGGCGTCGTAGAAGGACAGGGCGTTGTTGTCGTAGTCCAGCAGCACCCCGACCCTGCGCAGCTGTAGGGACGCCTCCACGATCGACTCCTTGTTGTTGTGCCGCACCAGGAAGTTGTTGTTGCAGCGTGAGAAAACCCAAGATGATGAGTTTTTGCCGCTCCATTCGTTTTTGGGTGCTGACTTGTAAGCCACTCCAAGAGCGTACCTGGAAGGGAAACCGATTTGAAATGTTGCCATTGGAAAGCAGGTGAGATAAAACTGATTTTAACAACTTGTTAGTTCATTATATAAGACATTTTATTTTAGTAATACCATTTATATTTAGCATCTAGAACCTGGGTTCCCAAATCTTGATATTTATTAAAATGTTAATGCACCATGTGAAAATTCAACTGAACTTCACAGTCAGTGATCAATAGGAATATCCCAAAGCCTAATACCTTATTCAGAAAGCACAAATAAAGACATTATTACAAAATAACAGAAAAAATGGTTAGATTTATTATAATATATTACAAGCACAATGTAAAAATTACACACACAATGTACTCTTTGAACTGTTTAACTGTCAGAAATCCGAACTTGTCAAGAGTAACATTACATGAAGTACATTAAGATGCACATTTTCCAATTCGTGTAATGTCTGTTACATCTTTTTATGCAAACTTTGTTCATAAGTGAAGTAACATACCAAAAAGAGGTATGTTTTTGTGTCTTTCAAAAACAAAGCAAATATAATCAGCTGCAAAAAAGCACCTAATATTGTGCAGTTAGGAAGTCTTGCTGCCTTAAAATTTTAAGTTTAGTCAACTTGAAATGTAAAATTGTACTATGTGACAACTATCTCGAGATTTTCGAGTTAAGGCGGCAAGCACTTACTTTTTTAAGTTGAAACATGTTTTTTTTCACAGCGAAAAGATAAATGTGACCATCTGAAGATCATCAAGCTGAATAAATAAGCTTTCTATTGATGTGTGGTTTGTTATGATAGGACAATATTTGGCCGACATACAACTATTTGAAAATCTGGAATCTGAGGGTGCAAAAAAAATAAAAATATTGAGAAAATCGCCTTTAAAGTTGTCCAAATGAAGTTCTTAGCTATGCATATTACTAATCAAATATTAAGTTTTGATATATTTACAGTAGGAAATGTACAAAATATCTCCATAGAACATGATCTTTACTTAATATCCTAATGATTTTTGGCATAAAAGAAAAATCGATAATTTTGACCCATACAATGTATTTTTGGCTATTGCTACAAATATACCCGTGTTACTTATGACTGGTTTTGTGCTCCAGGGTCACAAATAATATAAAAATGACAGCGAAATCTATGGATATATATATATATATATATATATATAAGTATTATACATATTATAATATTAAAGTTATTATAGTATAATTAAAAAAATATATATTAAAATTTAAATAAATAAAAAAAATATTACCAATATTATTAATTCAGTACAGTAAATAATGTTTTATGTACTATATATATAGAAGGGAATCTGGTGAAATATATATAATATTAGACAACTTATAATACTACTACTAATAATAAATAAACACACAATAATATATATTACTGTGTTTATATATAATGTATATAACCCCCTTTTCCCCCCAAATACCTTGTAATAAATAAAATAATAAAAATTTTATGAATTATTAGGCATATTTGCTAAATGGAATAGAGTTAATGTCCATTCACACCAAGATGATAACTATAACTACAAAATTGTGTTTCTATTTTACAGGAACAAATTTCAAGCAACATAAGGGTTGGCAGGTAATGACTTCATTTTCTGTTTTAAGCAAATGATCTATGGGGTGTGTGACTCAATTGCCTATTATACACTTTTGACAACTGCCTATTAACATAACAGTTACAAGCCTGAAAATCTGAAATCACTTACCATGTGGAGGCGCCCAGTAAAACCTCCCAATAATGGCAGCCACTGTCGATGAAGACGTTGCCAGCGGCACCATAGGATCCGGTTCCGCTAAAGCGCTCCGGAGTGTGACTCTTCTTCAGGGAGCTTTCATCCTTCTCCATGGTCAGACAGTCATTGGAGAGGCGCAGCTTCTTATGGGCCGTTTTGGGGTCCAGTTTGAAAGGCTGACCTGAGGAGCGGAGAGGACAGAGATGGGTGAGATACATCAGGAACATGTAACAAGAGCCAGTGGGGAACGAGTTTGGTGACCTGAGAAGAAACTCTCACTGGTCTGCTGGAATTCGTGCAATTTGTTAAATGTCAGATTGAGCTCTTCTGGTTAATTAGGAGATGAGCGGTTGTGATAAAAGGCACAGTGTGTGTGTGTGTGTGTGTGAGAGAGTTAAAGACAGAGAGAACCAAATGCTAAATGAAGTCAGCTACGTATATGATTTGAGTTTTAAATTTCTTGAAAAGCAGAGGTGACCCCGCAGACCCGACATTTAACTCTGGCACGTCTAAATCTTCCCATCCCTGGCATAATGACTGACAATGCAGGAAAACAATCAGCTGTGCTCCGTCCCTGCCCACAAACCAATCATCTCAACCCAGAGTGAGGTTTACTGCACCCAGATATGAAAGGTTCTGGCAATGTGCTGCTGGAAGCCAATTACATTAACACGCTCTTGTCTTTGAACTGCTTATCGCTGCGAGCGCAGCCATTCTCAACACTCGTGCAGTCATGCCATTTTACAGCATGTGTTTGAGGGCACTGGGAAAAGCGATGCAGATGCACACACACACACACACACACAAGGCTACAATCAAGAATCCCATGAAATGCTTATTGCCCGCTACTATAAAACTGATTAACCGAAAGACAAAAAGGTGTAAAATGGCATAATTGTGCCGTGCAGGTGTCAGAATAAAGGTCTTTATTGTGCCGTTTTGATTTAATCAACCCAGAGTGAGGTTTACTGTGCCCAGATATGAAAGGTTCTGGCAATGTGCTGCTGGAAGCCAATTACATTAACACGCTCTTGTCTTTGAACTGCTTATCGCTGCGAGCGCAGCCATTCTCAACACTCGTGCAGTCATGCCATTTTACAGCATGTGTTTGAGGGCACTGGGAAAAGCGATGCAGATGCACACACACACACAAGGCTACAATCAAGAATCCCATGAAATGCTTATTGCACGCTACTATAAAACTGATTAACCGAAAGACAAAAAGGTGTAAAATGGCATAATTGTGCCGTGCAGGTGTCAGAATAAAGGTCTTTATTGTGCCGTTTTGATTTAAAAACAGGAAATTAAAAAGCATACTTTTATACACTTAATTACAAGAAATTATGTTGAATATTATGATTGTTTTCTGCAGAATATTTATTTATGTTTATGAAAGCATGTAGTATGTAGTTAGAAATATAAAAACATAACAGTTCAAATAATAAGGTACATCAAAGGTAAAAATTTAAATTAAAAGACCAGAGAAATATATCGATCTATTGTGGAGAAATATATACTTTACATAGAGTGAGCAAAAATGAGCAGTGAGTCAGAGAACAACTAAATTTATGACAGCTGCTGTAGACGCTGATGCCTGTGTCACATATATTCAAAGGTTTATTTGTAAAGCACTAAAATGTGCATTTCACAGTGACAAGAACATAATGTGTAGTGCCAGCTGTGACCATGACATAAAAAACAGCACTGCAGTGTCTTTCAGAACAGCAAATAAGATCATTTTCAGTTCAGAAGGGAATTTGGTGAAATATAAAATATTAGGCAACTTATAATATAACTTATACTACTACTGCTACTACTACTAATATAAACACACAATAATATATATTTTGTGTTTTATTAGTAGTATTAGTATTATGTATTATTAATATTATAAGTTGTCTAATATTATATATATTTCACCAAATTCCCTTATATAAAACATTTACTGTATTGAATTAATATTATTGGCTATATTTATTTTTTGAAATATACTATTATAATGTTAATATTATAATATTTATATATGATCTGTGGATCTATATACACAATGTTGTTACTAGATCTTAGGTTTTCCCCCCTCAGGAATTAAGTTCTCTCAGTACTTTTTCATCTTATTTATCTTTTTATGTATTAGACAACTTTTATCTTAGAATATGGTCAGTCTATTTTTGATATGCAAATGAAAGTATTTTCAAAGTTGTTAATGTTATTAAGGAAAGTTCTATGAAATATTTCCATTTCCAAAATTTTCCATTCTATCTATCTATCTATCTATCTATCTATCTGTCTACAGTGCTGTGAAAAAGTTTTTGCCCCTTCCTGTTTTTGATTTTTTTTTGCATATTTGTCACACTCATCAATATTACATCAATATTACACAAAGAGTAAATACAAATGTTGATACAGTTTTGAAATGATGATTTCATTTATTAAGGGAAAAAAGTTGTCCAAACCTGCCTGGCACTACGTGAAAAAGTAATTGCCCCCTAAATCTAATAACTGGTTGTGCCACCCTTTGCAGCAACAACTGCAATCAAGTGTTTGCGATAACTGGCAAGCGACTGGCGAGTCTTTCACATTGCTGTGGAGGAATTTTGGCCTACTCTTCTATGCAGAATTGTTTTAATTCAGCCACATTGGAGGGTTTTCGAGCATAAATGGACTGTTTAAGGTCATGCCACAGCATCTCAATCGGATTTAAGTCTGGACTTTGACTTGGCCACTCCAAAACCTTAATTTTGTTTTTCTTGAGCCATTCAGAGGTGGACTTGCTGGTGTGTTTGGGATCATTGTCCTGCTACATAACCCAAGTGCGCTTGAGCTTGAGGTCACAAACTGACGGCCGGACATTCTCCTTCAGGATTTTCTGATAGAGAGCAGAATTCATGGTTCCATCAATTATGGCAAGTCATCCAGGTCCTGAAGCTGCAAAGCAGCCCCAGACCATCACACTACCACCACCATGTTTGACTGTTGGTATGATGTTCTGTTTATGAAATGCTGTGTTGGTTTTACGCCAAATGTAACGGGACACACACCTTCCAAAAAGTTCAACTTTTGTCTCATCAGTCCACAGAATATTTGCCCAAAAGTCTTGGGGATAAACAAGATATTTTTTGGCAAATGTGAGACAAGCCTTTGTGTTCTTTTTGGTCAGCAATGGCTTTTGCCTTGGAACTCTCCCATGGATGCCGTTTTTGCCCAGTCTCTTTCTTATTGTTGAATCATGAACACTGACCTTAATTGAGGCAAGTGAGGCCTGCAGTTCTTTAGATGTTGTTCTGGGTTCTTTTATGACCTCCTGGATGAGTCGTCGTTGCGCTCTTGGAGTAATTTTGGTAGGCCGGCCACTCCTGGGAAGGTTCACCACTGTTCCAAGCTTTCTCCATTTGTGGATAATGGCTCTGACCGTGGTTCGCTGGAGTCCCAAAGCCTTAGAAATGGCTTCATAACCCTTTCCAGGCTGATACATGTCAACTATTTTGTTTCTCAAAAATATTATAATATTAAATTATATTTACATATTTCTAATACACACACACACTTGCATATGTGGTTTACGGGGACACTCCTTAGATGTAATGGGTTTTATACAGTACAAAGTGTATTTTCTATCGACTTACCCTAATCCTACCCCTAAACCTACCCCTCACACAAAACTGTCTGCATTTTTAGACTTTCAAAAAAACATAGATTAGTATGTTTTTAAGCCATTTAGTTTACGGGACACAGGAAGTGTCCTTATAAACCATATTTATGTTGTAATACCCATGCCATTATACACATTTGTGTCCTCATAAATTATAACACACACACACACGCACACAGAGACACAAATCTAGTGTACGTCTTCCTTTAAGATGTGTAGTGGGGTCACATGGTTGGCTTGGCTCCTGTTCTTGGGCTGGGCTGTTATGGTGTGTTTTCTGCAGGGGAGGGCCAACCGCTGACAGCTTGAGCAATTTCTACGCTGTCCAGGACGAGTAAATATTATTCTGAGATCTTTTAACAAGAAGTAAACATGGCTGTCCTTGGGGCTGCTTGTCATGTGATATTTCTCATATCGGCTTTATATACAGTCACCAGCCATGGCAGTGCTGATTAAACAGGAGAGACCTCCTATAGCAACACAGTGTGACTCTACACACACACAAACAGACAGACAGGCTTATTTAGTACTGCTGTCATTCAAAATTCTACCTTCACAGGGCAGAGTAAATATGACATTAAAGCTAGTCACCCAGAAAAAGAAAACTTGAGCGGTCACGTTATTTCTCATAATGAAGAAAGCAATTACCAAAATGTTATATTTTGCTTAAAATATCCTGCATTTCTCAAAGGTCATATGAAAATGTTTTAGTTGTTATCAGTCTTTACTGGATAATACAGTAGAGAAGAACAGACGGAAGAAGGATTTTAGGAGGTCTAGGGAATGATACAGATGAGGCTCAAACTTACATCACGTTACTTCAGCTAAAATTGGTTTCATACACCTTTACTTGTTAAGTTTATAAGACATCTTGGATCTCTAGAGTGAGCTGAGGTCAGATTTGCAAAATTTTGGTAAAATTTACAGGCAAAAAGTAGTATATTGTCAGTAGTATGAAGCACAGCTCATAAAGTAATCATTTTCAAACCAAGCAGCTTTCTGTTGGTTACAACTTGAACCATTGCGAAATCTGTTTGGGGAAATATTTTGCCCTCACACAAAATTCCCATTTGCATGGATTCCTACTGAAAAGACCAGATTTGTCCCACAAAATTAGCCAAAAAACAGTAAATGTGGCCACATCTAATGTCTTAACCTTTTAAAGGTTTATCTGGATATTTCAACAATACAAATGGAAGAATGGCACTGAATTCATACAATTACATAGATTTTTTTGTGGCTGAAGTCAGTTCTCCTCAAGTTTACACAGGTTGTTAAATCTGAGTAATCAGGTGCAGTTCATCACATTAACTCTGAACATGTTGCACAAAAGTTTGACAAACGGGAAAGTGTTGCAATACTCTGTCTTCATTTTGAAAACTGTATATATTTATGTTGTAGAATCTAACAAAATGTGCTTTGCTGTTCATCTCATTTAAAATAAATGATGAAACTGTATCTGAAGTGTCCAAATACTTTTTGGGGCCACTTTATAATCAATAAACATATTTATTGTGCTACAGCTGGATGAT